ATAAATAATGTCTTATGTTTTGCCCCTCCAGTGAGGCTCAGGAGGAGCTTATGGTCGACACCTATACCAAGGCTGGCATCGATCCTCTAAAACTTACATACATATTACTGTATATTGAAGCCCACATAACCGGCACTAAGGTATGCATGTATTGTAAATTATGTTATATTTATTATGCAAGGTCTCCAGAGGTATATTAATATCTTTACAATTGGATTCAATGGATGACAAGACCAATGAATATCTTAATACTTACAATGATTTTTATTTGATTCCCAATTCAAAGGCATGTATTAATTATGCATTTAATAAAATAACAATTTATTTATGTATTTATCATTTTATAGAATTTTCCCTCAAATATAACTACTGTTTGTGTGAACACAAGTGAATCAATTCAAGTGACAAATCCCGTTATTGTCAAAAAATTGTTCCAAATATTCAATAATTAATTTTAAATTTTTACGATTTTTATTGACGGGAAAGTAGTAGTGCTTACTTGTGATTATTATGTGAACATGTTTAAATTACGATATAGACAATTTAAAGACATGTTTACAGTATCTAAACATAAATATTTTTACAATTTAAAATATTCATTCATTAATACAAGACACCAATTTTACCATAAGACATTATTTATGTAAGTATGCAATTAATTATTAAAATGTGCTAATAATTCAATTATTTAAATATGTTAGGTATCAGCAATTCAGAGAGTGTGGTATGTTTTATCATTATAGTTTAATCAGGAATATTATTATAATCATATTGGATAAACATTTGATTCATGATGCTAATAAACAGGTCATGCAACAATATATTAATTTTGTTAATCATAGAATTACATTGATGGAAATATTTCCCAATTTATTTATTTTATTAATAATCGGATATATATTTTTACTTTGTGTACTAATTATTGAGCAATTTATTTATAAATAAAAATCTAACAAATTTTAATTTTAATTATAGTTATTAATAATAACTATAATGCCAGAATAACTATGTTATAGTTAAATATTATCGTTATTGTTAATAGTATTTATATTGTTATTATTTATGATAACACAATATAATAATTTGATTGCGAAATAAAACTGATTTTATTATGTTAATTTTTTGTAAATTTCTTATTACTTACTAAACTCTGTTCTGTCTATTGTCACATTGTACTATTTCACATTTTGTCTAAATTGACACAAAACTAGTAACCCCTTATTGGGGTATATGATTTAGTATGAGCTTAATTTCACATCTGTATATTTTCTAATTTCACACATAAGTTGTTATTATTAACATTATGTGTATAGGATTCCACTTATAATTTCACATTTCATTACAAA